CTTAGTACAGAAATAAAACAATGTTTCCTGTTAACCACAAGGCAATTTAACTAGAAATCAGTAATAGAAAACAAGATGAAAAAAATCATAATGTAATGCTGATTACACAAAACACCTCCAATGAATCTATGAATCAAAGAAGAAGTTACAAAGAAAATTTAAAAATATTTCAAGTGAAAATACACCTTTCCAAAAATGGGGATGCCATAAAGCCAGTGTTTGCACAGAAATTTATGACACTGTAAGCAGATATCAGAAAAATGATCTAAAATCAATCATTCAGATTAGAAGTAGCATCACTATAGCTAATGTAGCAAGACAAGAAACAGAATAAATCTTATTTGTTCGACGATAACATGAGCATCAATATTATCTATGTAGAAAAAGTGAAATGATTGACATTAAAAACTAGTACTATAAAATGTTTATAGTATGACTGTGGGGTAAAGGGTTAAAACCAATGGATTTCCTGTGTGTCATCAATGAGTAAGAAGAGTTTGAAACAAAAAAATCATCCACATTCAAATCCCCCAAATGAAGCACATAAATATAAATCTAAGAAAATATGCACCAAAGCTCCTTGTAGGAAACAGTAAAACTCAAATGAAGAAAATCCAAAAACTAAACAAAGGAAGATATTCCATGTTCATGGATAGGAGATTCAGTATTGTTGTGATGCTAGTTGTTCCCAATTTAATATGTAGATTTAAGTAATCCCAATAAAAATCCCAGCATGTAACTTTATCAATATCAGCAAACTGATTCTGAACCATATATGAAGAAGGAAAAGTTGTGGAATAGCCAAGACAATATCAATGAGCACTATCATAACTCAATGATAAAAAGATAACCCAATTTTAAAATGGGAAAATACCTTTTATGTGTGTGTACTGGGATTTGAATTCAGGGTCTTGTGTTTGCCAGGCAGGCACTGTGCTGCTGAGCTATATCCCTGGCTCCAATGAGAAATAAAACTTCCTCCAAAAACTTATAAATGTCCAATAAGCAGATGAAAATATTCAACATCTCTGGTTATTAACAAAGTAAAATCAAGACCACAATGATATACCACTTCACAAATACTAGAATGACCGTAGAAGAACACAGACATACAAGTTCAGCTGTGCTGACAAACAGTGGTGCAGCTGAAATTTAGTAGCTCAGTTCCTCAAAGTGTCAAACTTAGAGTTAGTCATTATTTCCACTTATCAGTATATAGCCAAGGGAAAAGTGAATATATGTTCACACACACATGTACACACACGTGCGCGTGTACATGTGCACACAAAATGTTTATTGTAACATTATTCAGTGTCCAAACTGGAAAAGATTCAAATACTCATCAGCTTTTGAATAGATAAGATATGGCATAGATATAAGGTGGAAATAAGTAACAAAAGAATAAAGTTTGGTAACATGCCATACTGTAAATGATTGTACAAAGCTTTATGCTAAAAGAATTGTCACAAGAAATCACATATTATATGACCACATTAAATGAAATGTTCAGTATAGGAAAACTAACAGTATAAGAAAAAGATAATTGTGCCCATGACAGAGAGAACAGAGAGAAAATGGGGACTGAGCAGTGATAGATAAAAATTTTCTATTTTGGTGATTGAAAGGTTTTAAAATTGTAATGTTAGATTTATATAGATTAATTGTCTCCCATCCAAGTACTAACCAGGCCGAACCTGCTTAGCTTCTGAGATCAGACGTCAGGGTGGTATGGCCACACACTAGAGGAATTGTTTAGTCTACATCAATAAAGTTCTATTTCAGTAAAACATCACAACATTGCACATCTTTATTTATTTTAGATACTTAATAGAACATTTGTACAGTTCACCTGACCAGTTTGCTTTTTGTTCATTAATTTGTCTTCTAGGTATTGAGTAAGTTCTCGGGGAGATGTTTTACTTAAATATGAGATTTTCACATTTCATAATCAAAGCAGTAAAAATCAGATTTGATATAATTCTGAGTACACATACATTTTTCCTTTGTGTAGAAATAATAGTGCACAATTTTTAAACACAACATGATGCCAAAATCGATGTTTTCTCTTACCTCCAGTTCCACTCACCTCAAATCTGAGTTGCAATAAATGAGTGGCGAGTGGTAACACAATTTGAGAGCACTAGTTTTCTAAAAGAGTAATTAAAATTTTAAAAATAAAGTTCTGAAACTTTCATATTGTTATTCATCTTATCCTTGCATACTGGAAATCTGGAGTTTCCGGGAAAGCTCTGAAAAGAATTCAAAGGCTAAGGGCACTGTGTCATTCAGACTTGGTAGCTATTCAAGCTTTCATCTCTTCAGTTTAACACCCGTGTGCTTAAATTTCTGAAAAGCTTTAAATATTGTCACTTTTACAACATTTTACTTTCATTCTGTTTTATGCTTTTGACTACTTAATTGATGTAAGAAGCATGGGATGTGTCTTGGTAGACAATATAGAAAGTGCAATTCAAGTTACAGTATTGGCAACTAGAGGATGTTTGCTAATTCATTGTGCTAGTGCTGAATAGAAACTGTAACTGAAAAGTTGATTGAAGGACATTCAGAGTAGTACTTTTTAGATAATTCCTAAAGCCCCTTCTATAGTTATCTTACTGCATATTTATTCTGAAAGGATTTATTTCAGCAGCATGTTATTTGCATGTTATTACTCTGTTATCAAGTTTCATCACTGAACATTGAAAAAGTATGACTGTCTCACATATTTTCCACATCATATGATATGTATCTGAATGCAAGATAGGGAACCTAAGTAAATCTTTTACCAGTCCTTTTTGCTAATTACATCTTTTTAAATAAAAAAGCAATTGTATACTATCCTGTGATCACTGTCAAAAAAATTTTATATGTGACTAAAACAATCACAAAGTACTTCTAGAATGTTTAGCTATTATATTTTTTTAATTTTAAAGAAAATAATAAAAAAATAAAAACAGTACAGAATTTGAAAACAAGATGATAGGAAATTAACAGTGGTTATTAAATTTCATATTGTTTTCAAAGTAGTTGCTCAGATTACCAGATATGGGAATGTAAGATTGATCAAACAATCTAAACACTAACTGTTCCTTTCAGTTAACTCATGGAAATTAGTAGTACAATCATCTTAGTTAATATATATATACATTTATATTTCCTTCCTTCCTTTCTCCTTTCCCCATCCCAGTTATTCTTTCCTTTTTGAGCATTTTGTTTCCCTTTCACAATATTTATTGTACCTTTTGGATCTTTTTTACTCTTGCAGTTCCTTAGGGAGACAATGTGATGTTTACACATGCGAGTCTGATTTATTTCACTTGTGAGTATGGTCTCTAGTTGCATCCAATTATCTATAAAAGCCTCAAGTTTTTCTTTCTTTATAGCTGAGTGATATTCCATTATATAAAAATAGCTATCATTTTTATCAATTCGTTGGTTGATGGGCATTTGGATTATTATTTCCAAGAGTTAGTTATTACAAACCAGGCTGCTATAAACTTGAGTGCACATATAACACTGTGGTATAATATTTTTAGAAAATAAGAATAATTGTGTTTTAATAATTGTGTATTTAAAACACAATTATTATTTTATTTTTTTACAGATTTTTTAAAAACAGGAAAAGTTGCAACCTAAGCCTAAACAAATTTATAACTGTCATAGCATTTGGATGATGGCATTTGACAAAACAGTGTACCAGGTCCTTAAATTCTTATGCATTATATAACCTACATTAGAAAATAATGTGTCATCAAAAAGATTTTAACAATCAACCGACAACCCAATTATATGCTTTCTACTCAATTTGTATAAAACAAGGTACAGTACTGCCAGTTACTTGTCTTGTGTAAGTATTCATAACAGAAGACATTTTCCCCTTAGTTTCTAGAAATGAATGCAATATGTCTTAACCAAGACTTATCAAAGCAATGTAATTTTTCACCTAGAGCAACTTCATAAATGGAAATGAAATCGCATGAAGTTGAGGCCAAAACACCCATATGAAATTGGAAATATAGCTTCTACCTGCTTTCAGTTTTTTTTAAACTAGAAATATCTTAACCAGATGTAACAAGAAATGTGTGATACCTGACAATAATTATACATACATTAATATTTTAATTCACAGTTTAAATAATTGCTTTATAGCTGACAAAATTAGAGAGTCTGTCCACAACTAAGATCTTAACCCTAAATAAATAAGAAGAAAACCTTAAATAACCTAGGCCTAAATAAATGAGACTGCTTTATTAAGTATTGGACAAAGATGCATTTGATGGCATGAACAAATACATGCACTGATGATAAACCCAAGATACAAATTCATAGTACTTAAAAAGACAACATATCATTTGCTATTCATCTCATTTCCTCCTTTTATGGATAACTGTAGAAATATTTATTTGGTCAATATTTATTTATCATTTCTAAATAAGTGTGAAAGTTAAGTTTATCTGTTTTTATTTTTTTTCCTTCAGTCTTATATGCATTGATCTTTACCAAATTTTGGCCCTGACATGGAGTATGACTATCAACCAACAATACTGCCTGTTCTCACTGGACAGCTAGTTACACTACAATCTGCCAGTAAGAAGAGATCATGGTAGATCAATGACTAGAAAGAGAGGAGGAGGTGCTTTTTCCTCTGCCTTATTGCTTCCTGTAGATAGCTTTGAAAGCAGTCATCTGCCAGCTGTGCTCTTGATTTCAAACATACCTTGCCTGCTTTCTGGTGCTTGGTACCTAACAGAGCAGGCCACTTCTTCCCAGGTCTAAGACTGATTCTGCAGATTCTTTAATTTCTAGAACCAGATATTCAAGGTTCTGGTAAGTCCATCTATTTTACTTGCCTACTTTCCCAGTTCTAGACATGCCAGTGTGCACAGTCCCTGAGAAAACTAAGGCACCTAGTGCCATATGCCTAGTTGTGCCCCTAAGACTGTCCTTAAGTTGAGAGACAATGTAAACCTAACAGGATTGACTTTCCAAATAAGCATTACCTGAGAGACACTAGGAGAGGCAGTATTACCAGCAGAATCTGCTTCTTGACCTTATGCTAAGTCAGTTGTTCCTTGGAATGCTAGTCACACAATGGAACAATGCCAGCTAATGATGTCACTGCCATGTAGTTGCGTCTATAGAATTCCCTTCCCATGCTGACTGTGAGTGGAGGAGACACTGTAAGCAGGATACAAGCTACAGTCCAGCCAGAAGGCATTGGACAGTCCAAGTACTTTCTGGTTAATCCTTGTCTGATGGGCCCTCACTGGACCTCTGGAGCAGTGTTGATAGAACCCTCTGAGCTTGCCCAGATTTCCCCAGTTTTACCATGGTAACAGTGGTTTTAGTTCTATTAGATTTTATCATTTGTGTCCAAAAAACAAGTCATAGTAAAGAATATAGCCATCACTGCAGGGGCTCTTTATGTTGTGTTTTTATTACTGCCTCTACTTCTCTTCTAGGCCAGTCTCCTAAATCCTGGCAATGTCTAATCTCTTCTTCATTGTTACAGTTTTTGTCATTTCAAGAATGTTATTCAAATGCAATCTTAATGTTGACAGCCTTTAAGAGTGGTTATTTTTGCTCAGCCAAATTCCCTTAAGGGGATAGAGAGAGCTCAACATCAAAAAAAAAAAAAAAAATCCTGAAATTTTCTTGAGGTTCATCAAAATGATTGCATGTATCAATAATTCATTCACTTTTATCACTGAGCAATATTCCATGAAGAGGATGAACTGCAATTTGTTCATTTATTGTTGAGGGCATTTGGGTTGTTTCTGGGCTTTAGCTCTTTCAGATAAAGCTGCTATGAACATTAATATGAACATGTCTTTCCAGTCCTCCAGGATAAAAGTCCAAGACTGCAAATGATGTGTATATGGTGGTCACCTGCTTAGATTTACAAGAAACTACCAAACCAAGTCAAACTCTGGTTACAGAAGCTAAAATGAACAATGGTTTAAAGAGAGGGAATGTTGTAAGAGATGCAAAGAAACTGATCACTTGTGCACAGCTGATGGGAATATAAAATGGCACAGCTACTCTGGACAGCAATACAGATTTTTCTTAATTTTAAAAACTATTTTACTCTGACTTTATATAGAGGGCTGTTGCAGTCCTGTTCTGTTCCAGACCTCACAGTCCTTTCTTTCTTCCCCGCACCCCAACTGAATGAGAGATGACCTGACAGCCAGTCTCCAGCACATGTTTCCAACAATGCTGACATGATAGAGAGGAGATTGCTTGCAATGTGGATATACATTAACAAAGCAGCTTTTCACAGATGTCTTTGAGAAATCATTATAAATTACTGTAGCCATTGTAAATACACAACAGCAGAAAATGCTAAACCTTGTAAAACATGGACTATTCATTACAAAATGCTTTTGTGGCATAATGTTAGCGTGTGTTTGAAAGTGTTTTTAAGCTGCAAAAGGAAAATGCTTTGCATCTGATGAAACAGAGAAGGTTATTAATGGAGACCGAAGAATACAGAAAACAGCTGCTTAAGAAAAAGCACTACAAGATGCTATAAACTAATTTTATCTGCATCCTTCAACATGAATACTGTAGTGAAAAATGCTGTTTGCTAAATGCAAAATGCTCAATAAAGATATTGAAAAATATAGCTTTTAAAAAGGAGTAAACAAACCAAACTTTATCATATTTAAATTTATGAATTTTTGCTAGGACCCTCATTACAACAATTATTATTATTATTGGTAGTATAATTTTTTCAGTTTATATTTTATACATTTCAATAAATGATAAGAACATATATAAACTGAGTTCCTTATCCCCATGATATATGTGGAAACACATCCCTTAGATTTTTAAGAAGACATGTGTATAAAAGCATACTGTGAGTGACAAAGATTTTCCCCATATTAGTCAATAAGCACTGTAAAGTGAAATAACAATTTTCTCAAATTGTTCTTTCACTTATGGTTATTTCAAGCTTAAAAATTAATTTTCCTGTAGTAAAAATATACTCTTAAACTTTTTTTATTTACCTTAAAAGTTATATTTTCAAGATTGTTTCAAAAAGTAAAGCAGTATTCATTTGTTTTCTAACTCTTTGAGTGTTAGATTTTACATAAAAATTTGCCTTTTATGTGATTTTGGAATGCTTTGAAAGTCTTTACAGATTTTCCTGTTCATGTCTATTAATCTAGAGAAAATGTACAACTATTAATGACTTCACATGAATCTTTTATTTTACTGTAAATAAACTAAAACTGTTTCCTTAGAGATATATTTTTATAATTCATACTAAACACTGTATTGTTTCTAAAATTTCAAGTCTGAAATTAAATTTTATAGTGTTTTCTTAATAGTATTCAGTTACATATGTAATCATATTACTCTAGTGTGAATTTATTTTAAAACTCTAATCAAAATTAATTATTTTAAAAGGCTAAGGCTAATTTAAAATCATTGACTTATTTCTTGACTGAATTACCAAAGTGATATGTTTTAATAATGTAGGCTTGGAGAAATATTTTAGCTTCCATTTAGTATTTAAACATTTAACTCACAAAGTAAATATAATAATTGGGGCATTAGCTGAAAATAAAATTTGAATATAATACTCAAGTTATAGAAACAGGAGATCACAAATTCTGCATTTCCTGTTACTTGTATCAGATTTTAGTCAATAGTTCAATGCTAAAATGTTTAAATAGGTATTTTGTGCAATCATTGGTAAAGAATGTTAGTTCCTTAAGGAAATGAAAGGTATTAAGTGCACTATCATTCAGTATAACACATATACTGAAAGACACTGAGACATGTTATGAAAGTAAGGTATAATATATTTAGAGTTACTGGAGTGAAAATAACTTTAGCTAAAGAATAGGAGGCCTCTTACCATAAGGCTCAGTTTTATTAAAGTCTGAAAGAGAAGTAGCATTAAAAGGCCAAGCAACATCAGCCCAAGTTGCAAAGATGACCTTGAGAATAGATAAGGTCTCTTTAAAGGACAGGAAGGAGAGAAACTTAAGTGTAAAAATGGATAAATCAGAAAGGATCTGACTGAAAATGGAATTACCACAACAATAAATGACAAAATATTTACAATATGACAGAGGAACACAATGATTTCAAACCAATAATAGTTAACATAAAAGATGTGGAGAACAAAACTATCAAATTTAGAAGAAGTCTAAAAATAAAAGAGAAGATGTAATAGAAGAGAAAATTTTTTTGAAAAGAAGAGGTGACTCTAATTCAAGAATATTATTTGAAGATAACAATATGTACTATAACAACCATTCTTAATTTTCTATCACCTTGTTTTGAAATTCTGTATTATTTTTATTGTTTTTGTATTGCTTTGTTTAAGTCTTTGTTTTTGTTATTTTGCTCTTTTCTTTTAAAATAAAAAAAGAATATTACTTGATTCTGGAAAAATGTGATTAGGATATGTAAACAACAGAAGAATCCTGTGTAGGTTATAGTGGAACTGGCATTGTGGGAGATAGAAAAGGGGAGGAAAATGGCAAGTAAAAAAGATCTGGATGCATTATGTTTTATGTATCATTCCCCATGAAGAATGTATGTATTATATATTGCAAACATACTAATTAAAAAGGTGAGAATCTTAAAGTTAAAAAACAAAAGAGAAGTTCTATTTCAAATAAAGAGGCAAATAATAGAACAATTATAGTAATTTACCAGATAAAACATCTAACACTAGAGTTCTTTACATATATTCTGCCCCATAAAATAATTGGAAAATATTATATCTATAGAATTTCAAAAGAAAGAAATGTGAGTCAAGATAAAAATTCCCAGTAAAGCTGTCTTTTGCATGCGTTAGCAATTAACTCATATTCTTAAGAAATTTAAAATGATTAGAGATGACTCCATATATAACTGTTTCATAAGGAAAAAATACTTTAATACTTGTAAAGTTCAGTATATGGTAATGTTATTGTGGTAGCGTTGTAGTGTTATTGTGGTAATCATTTTCCTCTCTATATATACATCAAAATAATATTATATTGTACAATTGAAATATGCACCACTCCTATCGGTCATATGAAACCAAGGGTCAAAATAATCACAATCTTTACAAAAATATTTGGAGATACAGGACCAATATTGTGAACAGAGAAGAAACACCAGGCAGAACACCAGAAAGCTCACTTGTAAATTGTCTTTTTCTTGGATTAACTGTAGCAGCTGTGGTGGAGGTTCAAAAACCTCACCTCAGGCAGGAATTTTGATCTTTTCCTTTCTTCTTGCCTTTTTCCATGTGCTCCAAAGCCATTCCTTGCTGAAACAGAACATTTTAACTAATCTACAATTCCTAATGTCACATGATCTAGAACAGCTGGCTTTGAGGGTAATATTCCCCAGTCTGGACCTACAGCAAGATTCCCAGCAAGAGATCAACTGCTCACAGCTGATGAAGGTTGTATGGTGAATCAGAGGATGCACTGGTTTTCGCTGCACCTGGAAATACCCCGGGGTTTGCAGCAATATAAAGGGCTGGGAATATAGCTCAGCAGCAGGGTACCTGCCTTGCAGGTGTGAGGTCCTGAGTTTAATTCCCAGTTCCAAAAAAAAAAAAAAAAATTATCATCCTACTGCAATATGGAGAATCCTGGGAGAGAACTGTGCTGTAGCATGCGGCAGCATGTCTGTCTTCAACCCAGGGAACTGAAGACCAGGAGTGCTTTGATCTTTTGGTGACTTTATTTCACAAATTACAGGAGTACCATGTGATTTTTAAATAAAATAAGCCATTGTATCACCTTTCAGTTTTACTGAGATTCTTTCCAGCATTGACAAAAGTTTAAGAGATTCAGTTGGAAGATGAGAAAAACTGAAGTTCTGTCATGTGGGTTTTAAAATCTCAAAGTTTATGTTTATAAGATTCCAAACACCAGGCTTTCTGAAAAGAAAAAGCAGAAAGAGAGAACATGTTAAAGAAAAGTAGATAAATGTAACAGATTTTGTAGATAACAGTGGTCCCAGTGACAGAATACTCTTATTTCATCCCAGTGTAAATCTGAAGTAGAAGGTCAATAGGCTAACACGAGTTGCTAGTGTCCAGACTGTGACAGCTCTACTTACCCTCAGGAGTACACCTTCGGTCTCATTTTATAGTCTTCAATCTCCCTATTGCTTAAGTGAGTGAATTGGATCTGATTTTTCAAATCATGAAAGTTTTAACATTTAGTCTCGGCTAAAATTAACTTTTTCTGAGTTAATGTTTCCCTCATAAGCTAATTAAAAGTTATTTTTCTTGTACCTTTATTTCTTGCTAATTAAAAATTAGACAATCAATCCATTTTCAACTTCTCATTAGAACTGAAGATATTTAGATCTGATATAGAAAATAATGGTCATCCCAAAAGAACGCTAAGTTAACCAAAAAGTAATTATCCAGAAAAGATTTCCGGGCCTAGTGTGATGCAAGCCAGGCATGCAGTTGCTTAGACCAAAAGCTTGGAAACTTTTCTCGTTCTTTTTTTTTTTTGTCCTCATGTGCAAACCCCAGCATATAATGCTGGCCTGACCTGCACAATACACCCAGGCTCCATCTACTTCCCGTCTCAACTATTCCAACCTTGATCCATGGTCCATTACCCCTTGGCTGCATTATAACTATTGTTTCTTTCCCTCATTCCACCGTTGCTCTCCAAGAGCCTAATAGTACTACAGCAGCTGAAGCCTGCCTTTCAAAACAGAATGCGCTACTCATCTGCTCAAAATACCCCAACAATTTCAAATTTTAGAATAAAGCTAAAATTCTTATATTAATCTAACATTCTTTGCATTTTAACCCTATTCTCCTACTTCTCTGACCTCTCCTCACTCCCATACTCTGCCAGCTATGCTGCACTCTGGTTCTGAACACTTTATGCCCTCTTTAACCTATGGGAATTTGTATTTGATGTTTTCCCAGTTTGGTTCGTTCTTCTAGGTATCGTTGAGATTTGCCTCTCCTGTGCTTTAAGCCTGTCTACAGACTGTCACTAAAGGTGTGTATGTGATGATGGTGGCCGAGAAAAGGCACAGGTTTCTCTAGAGCCATA